TTGTTCAGTGAACTTGCTCATGTCTATCAATCAACGTGTTGTTTGTCATCTATCAGTAGTTTATCTGAACCGGTATTTAGGCTACAAAAGCCTGAGAAATGGTACTGATGAAATATCTTCTCTGATTCTTGAGTCCCATAATGCTATTCGTTCTTTTGGCGTCCATAGCAAACAACATGGCTTCCATATCTTGTGAGCTACTTCGTAAACACTATTTGGATACTGGTATGTTCTTCCACAAAGAAAATAATTCATAATTTTACTGATATTCCCAAAGGTAAAAGTAATAAAATTTAAAAACCTAGAATAGATAATTTAAAAAAAAAAAAGATTCACAAAAATATCATCATGAAAATATTGATTGTTTATTTATGCTAGGATTTCAACAGGAAGACGCGTTGGAATACAAATTTTAGCAAACCATGTGAGAAGGCTGTTGGCAACTGTTGCCCTTGGAATCAACGCCATACCGACGGTAACCCGGACAACCAAAAACTGTCAACAAGCTGGAACAGAAGGTGATTAATTTTAGTATTTTAAGTGAGCGTGAGTTTGAGTGTAGTTGTTGCCGAAGTTGCTACGAAATATGATAGAAGTTTCATTAGCTTTTATGCTTAGTCACTAATTTTTCAAAGCATATGTACTATGTTTTTAAATGTGGTTTGGTATTTGAAGCAATGCTAGGCCTAACACAAAGTAACATTTTAAGTTTGTGATGTGTTCAGAAATACCTCGAAGTTAAACCTGAACTGTAGAGTAAACGTTAGGCCTGGGTTTACTAGAGAGCGTATACCGAACTTTAGCTTAGTTTGACGGGTTTTTGTGTTTTAAGTTAGGCCTGGGCATTTACTTGTCATGGCTTTGGAAGAACTACATTTTTCTTTTTTAAGTCTTATTATATTATAGAAGGCTGACGTCAATGATTAATCATTAAGTGAAATGTTATAGTAAGTTTAGTTTACTTTGAATGAATTGAGCAGTAATGGGAACTTGTGAGAACAAGACGTTTGATAATGTAGCAAATTTGACTTTGACTTTGAGCCTCAATCTGCTTTTGATATATATATATATATCACATTCTAATCCATCAGGCAAATGTATATTTTCTTGACAAAAGTAGGACCTTTCCCAAAGTTTGAGCCACTGGAATGTTAATATCATTCAGCTTTACCCAGCATCTTAGTTTTATTACTGTTATCAGATTTTGTTGATTTAATATCATGTCACTATCAGTATCATTTCACCCATAGATAATAAACAACCATTTATTAAAAACATTAATTTATTCATAGGTTAAAGACAAGAAAAGTTTCTTGCATATTTATGATTTTTATTCCTTTAAGTCTTATTATTATTTATACATTTCAGCTAGCTCTTAGGGTTTACTTTTATTCATTACTTCCATAAACTGACTGTATATGTTGGGGATATTAAAGTTGTATTAGATACAGTTCATTGTAAGTTTAGTAAATTATTTTTCAATTCATTCCCTTGTTTATTTTAACTAGAGTATTAATATATTTTTTATTATTATTCATTGCAAAATGTTATTATTAATTTATCATTTATCTTCATAAACATCAACTTTTGCCATACTACAGTATCTGTACAGTCCTGCTACCTGACTCTTTACTTAAACAGTAATGTGTCATAGTAATTTATTAGATATTAAGCTATTGCTAGAATTGTACTGTTGAATTTGTTTAATGGGCTTTCATTGGTCACTAGATGTTGTTAGTGAGGATTATTTAAAGTTTAACATATATCAGTGACTAAGGTGGCCACTTGAACAGCTCTAAAATAAGGCACACTTGTGGGTGTTTGATAATTATTTATATTCTTGTGAAGTCCGAAAATAAGGAAAACCATGTGAGAGTCAAGTTTTGAAGGAGGGTGACTTAAAATGTTGAGACTTAATGTACTATTGACAGTTCAATTCATTACTGAGACCCCACTGGTTTCAAAAACTAAAAGAAGGTTATTAAAGAAAAAATGAGGAACCTAGGTGTGATAAAAATACCTGCAATAGAAATAAATGTTTTATTATATGATTGTTTGTGTACAAACCATAGAAGTTAATTTGTAGATTAACAAAATAAAAGTACTGTTGCGTCAGCGAGGTCACGTGACTAGTATCATGCCATTTCTTCTCTTGAACCTTCCTGTTTCTTTTCTTTTTCCTCTAACAACTGTTGTAATTTCTCTTCTCGTTCTTCCTGTTTCTTTTGATGTTCTTGTATTGCTGCCATTAAGTCTGCTAGGCTGTAGTTTGATTTGCCGCTTCTCGTTTCCATTTTTTTTTTATCCCACTTCCGACACCAATTTGTTACGTCTCCGTTCGTTATTTAATTTTCCATAAATTCGTTCCGACGAGACTTTAGCGACACAAGTCCTTTCTTAAATAAAACTGGTTTACTCTTT